ATGATGAAGATACGATCTGTTGTGTTGTTTTTGAATATATATATATATATATATATATATATATATATATATATATCATCAAAGAAGGGTAAATACAGTGTTAGAATAAAAAAACATTGTGTAATAGAGTGTATCTGGCGGTATTTGAATCTGTTCAACCATGAATCTTTTGTGGTTTAATGGTTATGACGCTCGCGCTGACAGCGAGAGGTCGCAGATTCGAATCCCGTCAAAGACATTTCATTACACAATTTCTTTATTCATTTATTTATAGGATTGCATTCAATGTACTATTATGTATTTTATTCTAACACTGTATTTGTCTTTCTTTGATGATTTATATATCATTTAAGAGTGTTAACGGCTATCTTGATTTATATTATATTATATTATTTGTTTCTACCCCCTATTTTGTAATAGAATGTATCTGGCGGTATTTGAATCTGTTCAACCAGAAAACTTCTGTGGTCTATTGGTTAAATTAAGAAATAGTATAATATACACTTTAAAAGAAAGATACATATATTTTACATTAAAATGTTCAATCATAGACTCACCAAAAGAGGTTAAAAAAGTGACTGATTACCACTTACCTTAAAGTTGTCGCCGTTGCTGGAATACTCGAGAAGAAGTTAAAAACCATGATGATAAAAAATCCCACCATATACCCCGGTAAAGCACTGCAATCTGTCCCACATTTTCCTGCTTTAACTTCAAGATCTGTAGAGCCTGTTAAACCAAGACACGAACAATCGCCAAATGTCTACAAACAAAATTGAATTTGATTTTATTTAATAATATTTACGATTTATTTCGCAGGGACACAACACAGCCAAAAACTGTTATAAAAATTCGAAAATAAGAAAGGATTTGTAGGTTCGTCATCTATTATCAAGTTTGTAACGTTCTAATGCTAGTTATAGGCCCGGATGTTGTTCTAAAAATAAACGCTGGAAAAATCCTATCTATGCCGAATAGTATGAACAGTGGTCATTGACAAGTGATCAACGTTTTAACGTCCCAATGCATATTAAGTACAAGATAATCTAGATAAATTTTATTCAGTGTTCATTTGTCTACTTCGCATATAAATGAATGACTGTTAATAATTAAAATAATAATATATTTATTGGTTATGTTTTTCACCACATGTATTGGACATTTAAGTATTGTCAGTGTTTCGTGGATATAGGCCTATTCCAATTAGGTGTCTCTTACAATTTTATTTTTGTTTTTTGTTATCTACCTTTTTTGCAGTATTTAAATAATTGCAGATATAAGGATTACGTGTTTTTTTTAAAGTGGTATGAGTGTAATTTAATTATTCTACTGTACGTACGGTTTCGTCAATTGATGTTTTACATCCAGCGTGACATGGATCGAAGTATTCTATGTTGTTACTGCCACAGACTGGGAAAAAGCTATCAACCACACAACCACAATCAACGTTGCAGGCTGTAGTTAAATTTGCTTGATCTCCGGCAAGAGTTCTAATAATATAAAAAAAAAAATATTAGCCTAAATTCACTGTGTGGTATCGAATCAACTCTAGATTCTCGAGAGGGCTTAAGCATCACAATTGTTTTCTGTCTTATTGCGACCCACTGAAACTATAACATATAATGCCTGGGCATGATAATATTGTACTTATGTGGGATTTAAATTTAAATATATTTAAAAGTTTTGTTCGTACTCATTGCCGTAATATGATTGGTTGATTCCAGCGACAAGCTCTTGAGGGCAGGAGACAAGTAGAATGAATGCTAATATGATAGTCATAGCTGTATTGAAGATGCAGAATTTCAGTTTGCCTCTAACTTTTAAGTCCCATCTTTTGACAAAATATCCACCAAGTACAGTGCCACCACCAGCGGCCGGAACAGCAGCAATACCTTTGGAAAATATTTAACAAATCTTAAAATGCACATAATTATATGAACAGAACGAGTACTGTACATGAATAACACCAAACTCTGAATAGTTGAAAAGCATACATACCAATACATATGTGCTATACAAGTGCCAATACCATTTACGTGAATTTATATTGTTTGGTGTAAGCTTTGTACTGTTGGTGGCAATGTTTTTCAGTGAGATACAATTAACATAGACCTCCAACATACCGTGCCCATTTTTAGTGTTTGGAACACAAGAATATTAGCGAAGAAATTTTACAATTTTATTTTTGAGCGAGCCAAATGGCCGAGCGGTTAAGGCGGGGCACCGTGATCATAGCCAACAATATCTGCTCACTCCTATAGTTCTGGTGGTGGAACAATTTTTTTTTTATAAGGACTATAAACCGTAGGCCCAGTGTACACAAATTCCCATGTGCACTTAAAAGAACCCAGTACATCTTTCGAGATGAGTAGGGGGTTACGCCGGTGTACTGGTTCACTCGGCCCCTGTCGTGGACAGATGAAAGTGCGCCAGTTTACTGGCTGCAGAGGACATGAAGTGACCCTAAGGGGAGGAGAAAGTTATTGAAAAGTGCAACATCTAGTGCCGAGCGCATAGAGACCTCGTATATTTGTGCTATATAAATTTATTATTATTATTATTATTATTATTATTATTATTATTAGGCCTATTATTATTATTATTATTATTATTATTATTATTATTATTAGGCCTATTATTATTATTATTATTATTATTATTATTATTATTATTATTATTATTATTACAATTGTCCCAGGAGTCTACTACTTGGTTCAGTGCACATGTAAAGGCTACAAGCTTTAGCCCTGCTGCTGTTAGCAGCATAAAATCGCTACAGGGTTTTTACTGCATTCGTTGCACAATGTAGCTGTCTCGTAATCGAAAAAGCTCCACGGTTTGACCAATCAGCGTGTAGGCCTAGCTATTTTATAGAAACCAGACTGCACTTCATTGTTAAAACCTACCTACAAGTGCTGCTGCTCTACCGGCTGTCTGTACAAATTGATTTTCGACAAACTTCGGCATGAATGTCGCAAAACCACTTAGAACCAAACCTTCTGAGCATGCTGCTATTGTGTTAAACATGAATGTGGGATTCGTAATCAGATACATAAATGCTTTTGGAAAATCTTTCACCGACGTCCCAAACCCTTCTTGTGTTGTTTTTTCTTCTTTACTATCAGCGTGAGCTTCGGAAACCTTTTCGGCACGAATTTTTGCAGTTGCTGCAAAAGATTAATTATGAGTGTTAATATTTTGCTTGCTGATTAGATATAGCCAGGGGCGGATTCAAGGGTTGGGGGAAGTCGGCACACCCCTCCCTCCCCCCACACTCCCTGTGGGCACCTCTACTTCAACCTCCTGGATCCGCCACTGATGGCTAATTATGCGGGTAATTTAACTTAATGTATTTAAAATAAATGTTTAAGTATATTTAATTATAAATCTGACAATTGGCATTATCCCAGCTTACCACCACCGTTCTGCACGTTGTGGCTAGATGTGTATTATCCCCACCGCCTCAAGCACGTCTTCACTACAGAGGACATTGAACCCATTGTCACTCTTTTGCTCCACTACCGGTAGACTGGCGAAATAATACGCTTTGATAGCTTTTAATTAACTATAATGAATTGGCATAGAATCAAATATTGTATAATATCTATTTACTTGGCAACTCCCTTGGAAAACCACTTAATGGTATTGCCGATAGGAAAGCTAAAACACCTCCAACTAGAAAACCTATCCACCAAGCACCGACCCACGCCGGGTCTCCTGGTTCAATCTCAAGTCTGTAAAAACATATTTCTATCATTAATGCATACCGGTAAATAATGGTAAAATTAATAACTGTAATGACACAAGTAATAACTAAAATGAAAATGATGCCATATCATAAATAACACTTAGAAGTATAAAATAATGTTCAGTATGTACTATTTGTTATTAAAGACTAAATTAATTCGTTAGAATTAGGTAAAAATAAGAAAACTAACTCTTCGTTCTCCCTATTAAAGTCAGTGTAAAATCCAAGTGTATAACCGCCGATAAGGTATCCAATTGAGGGGCCTATGATACTTGATCCATAAAATATACCTGCAAATTAAAAATTATCATCATCATCTCCGTTACAATTGTCAGAATGATTATTATAATAATATACTTTTATACTGCGCAATCATAATACCAAGACATTTATCATTCTCGTCATCATTGTCATTGCCATGTCATCCTCTTCCTCCTCCTCCTCCTCCTTCTCCTCCTCATTATCATCATCATTTTCATCATAATTTCTTCTTCATCATCTTATTTTTCATGTCTATTGTCATCGTATCATCACCATCAACATCCGTAAAGCCAGTAATATGCCCGCTGTAGTTATCATTACCATTATCATCACTATTCCAACCTCATCATCATTAATCGCGACATCACCATCGTCAATACATATTATCCTTTCTTATTGTTATGAATTTATTGCGTTCTTTTGGTATATGAATCCGATTCCTCTTAGCTTCCCTAACAAGTACATTCGTAAGCTTACCTAGATATAAACCTGATTGCCTCGTCGTCACACTCTCATCCATCAGAGCTGTTCCAAGAGTGTATAAAGGTACAGCTCCAATGCCATGTAGAAGCTGAGCCACGATGAATACGTAGAGATAGTTTGACAGCTTAGAGTCTGTACTTTGGTCACAGTCATCCACAAACGGGTCTCCGCAAAGGACCGATGCTGTCCCGACGACGGGAACGTACTTACCGCTTGTGAAGTGTGGCAGAGCAAAGATCAAAGATCCAGTGCCCATAATTAAGAGTCCTATAGCCAGCCATTGGGGTTTGTGTCCTCGTCCCCCTACATATGTCACAAATAGCACCAATATCGCGCAAGCGAGATCGTAGGAACTGGCAATAAAGCCAGCATTCCTACTCGGCATCTCAAAACGTCTCTCAATCGTTGTAATGCTAACATTTATGAAACCATTTATCACCATTCCTTGGACTGCAGTGAACAAACACAATGAGAAGAGCAGCCATTTTGAATTATTGAAGACTTGAAGCCAAGATGGACGAAACCCGAACCAGCCCCATGTCAGCTCATCGTTTTCAGGGACATCTTCACTTGCTTGAATTTCCTTCGGAGTTTCTGTGCTTTGCTCAGACGTTGAGGATGTCTTTTCATCGGTAGTGGATATTGCGTTCTCTACCGCGATATCCTCGGGCGTTAAGGTGGTTGTTTGTGTATCAATGATCGACGTCATATTTTAAAATCCATATAAATTTTCTAAAATCTACTAAACCCCGAAAGAGATACAATCACTGATAAAACTGTGGAATAAGAAGATAATAAAGTACTTCAACGAGGTATCAAAGCGGATGGTGTAGATCAACCAAATTAAAAAAAAATTCAATATACACAATAAACCTCGTTATTCAATCGTAAATTCAAGTAATTATGTAACTTCCTCGGTCATTTAAGCTCCTATCAGTATGATGATGACGATGATGACCATCATCATTGTGGTGGTGATGATGGTACCGAAACATATTGCCATTGTGGTCCTAAAATTTATTTCCTTTTTGGTCCTAAAATGTTGATGTAAAGAAGGCCTAAACAAGCTAACAGAACTAATTGATTTGTACTTACTATATTCTGTTATGCAAAATCATTTGACATTAGGCATATGGCGTCAAAACATTGGTGTTTGGGTCTTGTTGCTTACCGACACAAACTCGTTAAAGAATAGCTTGAAAACCACAACAAGGGTACCAGGCTGAATTTTATGGGCGTTATTAGCTTAAGCAATTATCACCATCAGCATTGTGTCAATGTAAATAAGCCCATTTGTGGCGCCGCTATATAGGGGAACTAAATGATAATATGTCTAAATATTTGATATGTACATATTGCCATAGGAAGATCATTTGCAGATGATCGAACGATGTGAAGCGTTTGTAACTTACTAATACAGCAATCATTTTGATAAAATAATATTAAAATATAAAAGAATAAAAAGTGTTTTAGAATAAGAAATTCGGTTTCAATTCATTTTTCTAGACTAATAGGCCTATTTGTTGTTTTTTGGTGGGTATCTTCATAAAATCCAGAATTTGTCTCTCATGAAAAGGCACTAGTTTTAGTTAACTGCTTATGCTCAAAGTATTGAGGGATTCGTTGGCTAGGTACTATTTGTTACTGATAATGACGAAGAGCCGTCCAGCCCTTCGGAACGAGGGTGTAATTTGTTATTACAGTAGGCCGGAAAGCACTCTTCTTTAGTTAAATGTATTGCTTAGCCTATGTTTGAATGCACATAGAATGTAACTGATATGACATTTAGAATGTTTGCAGAAGGTTAATATTTTTGAATTTGGAGAATACAGTATGAGATTGGGAAAAGCGGTCCCTTATTTAAAAAAAGTTAGGTATTCATGTCTATTTGGATGCAGTATTCATAGGAGGATTCTAAATTTTTTTTCAAAATTAAAATAAAAATCAGAAAAAAAGAAAATTATATTCAAATTTAAGTCTAATCATGCCATTTCCGGCCATCTAGATGTGCCATAATCAAAATTTTTCTTATCGCGACCCGCCATCTGTGAAAGTCCCTCTCTGGGCTCCCTCTATTTCAAATTCCTGGATCCGCCACTGGTATTTGAGTTTAATGGTGGTCTCTTCTGGCAGACAAACATATGTATTTTTCATTTCATGATGCTGTTATTAATGATGAAAGAAGCCCGGATTCTGTCCTTCATCACAACATTACCAATGCAGTTTCAAATATAATAATGTAATGTAAACGACATATTACAAAGACAATTATTGGAAGAAAAAATGAAAATCGAGAAAGTCATCTTTTGTTAAAATTTATTAGAAAATGTGGAATGAAATAAAACTTTGTAAAAAGAAATATATTTCTAGTTATGAATGCCTATGGTAACTCAAGTTTTACACATTTGATATAACCACTGTTAACAAAAACAGAGATGTATATAGGTTATTGTATTTAAAGGGCATTGAGTTTTAAAAGGCTTAGGCCTAGTATATCTGCTGCGTCCATATTTTGTCACTAAGTGCTCTAACATGTGTACATTTATATTTTGTTCAATATATATTTTGTAGTTTGCTATAAATGTTTGGAAATAAAAGTAAATTGAATTGATTTGAATTTATGATATGATGATATATTTTAGGCATTTTAAAAATTTTATATTAATATTGATTCTTAAGTATGTTATTGTATCGTTATTATTGATTATTTACATAAATATTTATCTAGGCATTGTTTCTTTGTTCAACGCCTTAATCAGCTGGCTACGGGGGCCTTGGTTGAAATTTTAAATCCGATTGAAAAAATATAGCAATTTACTACTACAGTAGTCTAATACTTAACTCCCTATAGGCCTAGTGTTATATCCTCAAAGTGTTGAATGAGTTTGTTGTCTACGCAACCTTTCTTTGTTTTATTGTCGATCAGTCTTCTTTCAAAATACTGTAACACACCCTCTAATTTCGCTTGTACTCAATTCATGAAACATTACTATTTTCTCCAAATTCCACTGTGACTAAGTCACTTTATTCAAAATAATTGTATTAGAAAGTCCATAGGCTTATTAACAATTCAATATCATCCAATATGTTTTAATACAATTCAATACAGGTTTAATAATAATTATGATTCTCAGTCTCCGGAATCAGAAGGATCAAAAAGCTAAATTTACCAAGAATTAGGCATTGGCCATTTTTATAAGGGCGCATAAATCCTCAAGCTCAATCAAAAACTAAGAGACAATGGTTGCTGGAATCTGGCTATTCTATTTGGTACGGTAGTAGCAGAGAGGGATTATAAACAGGGGCAACATTGTCACCATGGAAAAGCTGGATAAACCACATCACTGAATGGACAAAAATGGATGCTGTGGAAGTTGAAAGTGCAAACCGAAAACAGACAAAAATGGATGGAAATTGTGAAAGTTGTACATTAAATGCACCCACGACCCAGCGGCTAGCCAACAGGAACTGTTATTAACTGACGATGATGATGAGGATGATGATGATGATGATGATGATGACGACGATGGTGATGACATTTTCAGTGGATATTAAGGAACTTTGACTACTTGAGGAACACAAACAGGCCCTTTGTCTCAAAAAATCTTAATCATATCGATTGGTTTTCGTCATCACTATCCATATTTTTCTAGTATTTTTTGTTTTGGCCTTTTTGAGTTCGTTCTGTCGAGTTTTGGCCAGAGCCTACACAAACTACCCTGAGCCTAATAACAGAAACTATGTCCATATATAAACAACATTATCAATAATTAATAATTATGTCATTATTTTAGGTAATACCATATTACCGATTCATGTTTGCATATTTATCGTTATTTACATATTAATTGAATTTCTGAAGCGTTAAAGATTTAAATATTAAATGCTGTCCTTAATGCTGATATACAAATTGCATTCGACGTATGTGTAAATACTGCCATTGCCATTATACACAAACACTTGCATAAAACAGCCCTACTATCACACCCCTGCAACTATAGTTAAATCATTTTAAGGTCCAGTGGTAAAAACAAATAATGCGTAGGCTAAACAATATCTCACTCTCGTGATCACACTCTTGTCGGTGTCATCTCAACTGTCTGGCATTGCACAAAGTTTTTTCCTTCACAATATTATTATTTATTAGCTGACAACTATTGAATTAATTTCTTATGTTAAAATAGTTTTTAATTGAGGAGAAACCTTTTAATTTAGTTTGTTTCATATCTGAACCCTGATTTTGATTTAAGAGGTAGTCTTTAATTGTGTAGAATAAGATAAAAGATAAAAGTTTATCCAGGGTAACAGAAACATAGTCCTCATTTTGGAGGTTGTCTTTATTTATAGTGAGATTATTTTTATAGTATTCGATATTCTCTACTATAGAAAACTACAAGTAGCAACAGTTTTGTTGTAAGATTGCATAAAATACAAAACTCCGAGTAACAATCTTTTAAACTGAATGGAGATCCTGCTCCGAAAAAATAAGCTGTTTGATTTGATTGCATCAAAAACATTACTTCCGTAGCAAAAATTTTCTTTTTTAAAAAAGTTTTCGTATTATGTACTAGCGTGGCTCCTTCAATAATTGTTGTCATAATTAAGGGCTCACATGCTCCTATTTCGGTTGTGAATCTTCCAGAGTTTCAATTTTAATTGGCTAATATTGCAGCCATACAACGTATAATTATTGATACAATTTCGCAAGTGCACCTCTAGTTGCGTTATACATCTGCAAGGATAGTCGACGATTTACGAGAGAGCCAGATGGAAGATTTTATCTTATCTTAAACTATTAACTAATCACTCCATACAAAGACATGTAGGCCTATAAACTTACATTTGGTGACTAGAACTGTTTAACACTGCATGTACTCTCTCCATTGTTAGATGTTCAACAAGAATTGATCAAATAATTTAATTTATACGGTTAAAGAACTATATTATATAAAAATTGTAAGTGGTTTCATTGTGCAAAATTTTACCGCTGTTATTTCGGCTAAGTACAACTACTACTGTGGTAGAATTCTTTCACATCATGACATGTACAGCGGCGTAACAAGGTATGTGGACCTTGGCTGAGGATTCAGCTAATACACTGGTGGCTGTACTGTAAAACCAGTGTGGAACATTTAAACACAAAGCTCCACGCAATGTTGTCCAGTTTTTGGTGACACGTTTAAAAATTTAAAGCTAAACGTGTTTAGGCCAGGTCTAGTTTGTTTAGGTTTCTGACGTGTTAAGCATTAAATGTGGTAGAACTATTTGACATCATGATGTCAAATACCTAAGCACATTTAATGCTAAACACGTTAAGATCATAAGCACATTAAGTTATGTCTAAGCACGCTTAGCTTTTAAACGTGTCACCAAAAACTGGACAACATTGATTGGAGCTTCGTGTTTAAATGCTCCACGCTGTTTTTACAGTGTGGGACCAAGTAGAGCTCTCATTTTTAAGTGCGCATTTTGATGTGTGTTTTTTAACACGCTGCTCATTAAAAGGCCCGGCTCAGCCGATTTTAGGCAAGAAAATAATGCTGATGGGCCCAAGTCCAATATTCGGCCACTGAACATGTACTTTTATTCATTCATAATTTTGAGTCTCCTGTTTTAAATTCGTAAATAACTTCATCCTCGTTATGACTGGCCAATCCCTGTGTGTACGGGACGTTAGCCTCCTGTCTACAGACCAGCCGCCACACTATAAACACAAGTACTATAGAGACTATTTTCAGGGAAGCACATAGGCCCAGATAAACGAGGAAGAATTTGTGATTGTCGTACTCAATGCAGGCACCCTTTTCACCACAGTTATCCTCCCATAGTATGCATGCCGTGTCGATCACTGCCCCAAAATAAGTTGGCGATGGAATATATGCTATAGGAAAACAAGTAAAAAATATATCGGTAATTAAATCGAGATGGACTTATCTGAAAAACGAAAAACTTCTATTTTAACGGTTATTTAAGTATTTGATAATATATTTTAATACTATATATTTTATAATTTTAAACAGTTGCTAAGTAATATAAATAAATTTTGAATCTCAGAATGACGAATGTTATATTTTTAGTTGCCCTGTTCGTTTTCTTTATATTATTTAAGTTAATTTCCGGTACTATTAAAGATAATTATCAACCTTTTAACAACTTATGTGTAAAAACTGATTTTAAATTATTGAATTTTCAACATGGATACTGTACTGAAAAGATAGTACGTCGCGTATTCTTGTACAGATGGAAGTGGAACTGTGAATTATTGGTTACCATGGTCTTTTTTCATGATCGTAAGTTCCAAATATACATAATTAGATAAGGAAAAGCTTAAATATTGCCTATGTTCACTTACCTAATAATCGAACCAAGAGAAATTGAACCCCTAGCGCAAATGGTCTATCGCTGTCGTTAACCGATCGTAACGTCATCATAACTAGAGGTATTTGCCCCATAGTGATGACTATCACCAAGGAGATAAGTAAGAACATGAAAGGGATCAACAAATGACATTCGTTGCTACATTTGCCAGGGTACGTGTGCCCGTCTCCGGACTCACCACTTTCTTGCAGATACTTCGTGACGCAATTGCACATGGTGAAATTCTACGAGGGATGTTAAGAAACACGAGAATGTAATAAACATGTTAGAGTAAAAATAAGTTGAGAATGATTAATATTACAATCTTAATGATACTTATAATAAACGCGTTACAGTACTGTTGTATGGAATGTGCATGATGACAAGTTTGGTGTAGTGTATGATGATTTTTGGAGAGAAGGGAGCGAGAAGAGACAATGGAGGGAGTGTATGATGATGTTATATAAAGTCGGTAATGTGATTGTCGTGATGGAATAGACAATAACTGGATTTGCGTCAGGAGAATCAAGTTCAGTATAGGTGTGATTTTGACCAACCTGACATGAACATGTACTGAATACACATACGTGTGAAAACACGTTTGCGAAAAAAAAAATCGCAAGTTGTTCAGGTGGGACTCGAACCCACGATCTCCAGATAAATAAAGTTGTTTAAAATAATGAATGATGGTGTTGATGATGACGATGCAAAGCAGGAGAAAGATGATTGTGCTGACGATGATGATGATGATGATGATAATGATATTGATGATGATGCCCGTGATGATGATATTGATGATGATGGTGATGATGAGTGATGATGATGAGTGACGATGATATTGATGATGATGGAGATGATCATGGCGATGATGATATCGATGATGATGATAACGATGATGATAATGATTGTGAATATTAGAAAAATACTATGAGAAGGATAATGAGAGAACAACAGTGATGTTTACACTATATAACTATGTAAATTGTTGGTGGTAATAGTAATAATGATGAAAAGATTGTGCGTATGAATTAAACGATAATAAATATGACAATGACGATACACAAAATAGTTAAAATTTGGCATTTGTCTAATAAATGATTAGATAAAATGCATTTGCAATGTTTGAATTGGATGATGAGTGACGATGATGTTGATGATCATGGAGATGATCATGGCGATGATGATATCGATGATGATGATAACGATGATGATAATGATTGTGAATATTAGCAAAATACTATGAGAAGCATAATGAGAGAACAACAGTGATGTTTACACTATATAACTATGTAAATTGTTGGTAGGTAATAGTAATAATGATGAAAAAGATTGTGCGTATGAATAAAACGATAATAAATATGTCGATGACGATACATAAAATACCGTAGTTAAAATTTGGCATTTGTCTAATAAATGATTAGATAAAATGCATTTGCAATGTTTGAATTTAAAATCTATTATTAATGAACACAATTTTCTCACACTTGCGAAGTTGTCTTCATTTTCTCCAGAGCCAAAAGAAATGCCATGACAGCCAGCGTGACACGGACTGAAATAGGTGATACCGATGGAAGATGCGCAGACTGGTTGAAAATGCGACGAAGAACAGTCACATGCCGAATTGCAAGAGTCCAATAGGTCGAAGTCATCAACTTCCTCATTAGATTCTAATGATTCTCCACTTAAATATACAAGAAATTTAAAAAAAAAAAAGATGAATGTAAAATAAATGTGGATCACATATTGAAGACGTGAAATTTTCTAAATCGCTTTTCAAACTTTCAAGACGGTTGCCCTAATAAATTCCCTTTCACCATTTTACCAGTCAAAATTTCGATTTGTCTGTGAAACATTTAACGATCTATGGAAATATTTTTGGCGATGAATTCAATCGAATAATCGTGATCGTTAAGATATTATTTTTCTATAGAACACTTTCCGTTGGGTCATCTTTGAACATCATCAGGGGCGTTTTGGTATTATTAGGCCTACCAACATTATCCCCTGCCCCATACACCTCAACAAGCACCTTTGTAGGCCTATTCTAATCATTCACACTCAGTTTTGTTACGTGCCTACAGTAGTTCATTTCAATAAGCTTCCATCGAAGTCATGTTAAGGTTCGTAATAGGCTTATACTATGTAGGATATTCGTTCGATTGTTTGATGCGATCATTATTTGGGTATATCGATGTAGCCTACCGCTCGTGAAATTTAGTGGTAATGTAGTCTGTTTGTATATTCTACCTTTTATGCAAAAACATTGAAATGTATCTAAATACTATAATAATACTTTTTCTTTTCCCTTGACTTGGGAGAGCTCCATGAGCTCATGTTGCGGGTTTGGCACTATGCAAATTGACATTATTATGATTATTATACAATAATAAATATAATACTTAGAGGCCTACCTGTAATGATAAGGATATGTTATTCCTGCTAACTCTACTGAGTCACATCCCCCTAAAAGAAAAGTTCCTGCTAATATAGTAAAACCAATCACGATTATAACGAAGCAGAATTTGGACATCCCTCGAAGTCCCAACTTGAACCTGCGAATCATATAAGCACCAAACACTGTACCAATTGCAGCGGCGGGAATCAAAGAAGCTGAAAAGAAACGTAAAATTTAAAAAAAAATTATATTGATTGTAAAACTGTTTAATCGATAATAAACCAATCACAACTTGATGTAAACTTACTGCGAGCTTTCGTCGAAGTTATCAAGTTTTGTCATTAATGCCATATTTTTATTCGTCAGGCAGTAAGCAGGCCCGTAGCCAGGGGGGGGGGGGTTTATGGTTCGGGCGAACCCCCATTTTCTGGCGAACCCCCCTTGTTTTCTAGCGAACCCCCTCGAATCTTTGAATGAGTCCCACTCGGACGGAATGTCTGTTTTTAACTTACCCAGCATTAAATAAAAATTTAGCACCTAATTCATTATTTGGTCACCCGTTTTTAAATTGTAGCCTGCGATACAAGCCTACATTCATAGAATATCTCAGCTTCAGAAGTTCGGAGATTTAAATTGAACGCGCAAGTCCGGCAAACCATGACTTTACGATAGCTCACATAAGGATGGCAAACATCGATAAAAACTTTCACTGGCCTTTGGCTGAATGCTTGTAAGAAATGTACCAACCGGTAACGAAACCGGTCTCCGTCTACCGAGAGTAAATGGCGCTACCAAACGAAGATAAAGTTTTGCGACTTAATCCACCAAATGCAGCTAAAGTTTTGCGACTTAATTATTGTGGATTGTGTGGTTAGTAAATTCCATAGCCATACTGTCCATAGCGCACACCAAACTATTTGCTGATGGAGCATTGTTTGGAAATTGACTCTACTTTTTTCCATCCCAAACAACATATTATTAATAAATCAACATCTCAGTCATCATAGCGAGTCACAAAATTAGGAAGTTTGTTTTCAACAGCAGACACACACAACAGAACGGAGTGCGTCAAAATCTAAAAAATACGTACTGGCATTTTGTAATACACATTCCCTTGTTGTACAGTATGACATGTTTCATTAACATAACATACACTGAGGATCGCCAACGAATTGGGTGGGTATTCAAACTTTTACGATAAGGGGACCTATTTCGATTAAAATGTTAAAGTGATTATATAAGAATTAGATGAGTCACTGTCAATAAAACAATTCGCGGAAGAGGAGTATTCAAAATATCGGTACTGTTAATATGGGACTAATCAGATGACTGACGCCGTTCTCCATCGACAATTGATTTTGTGTGCATTATTTATCTACAATTCTTATCTACAGTATATACACTAGAAAATATTTACACTCACAATTTTTTAAAAAAAAGGTTACCAACAACAACATCTAAATAGCTGTGGGAAAAACAAATTATCAGCCTGCTGCTCTCTGCCTGAATAGTGATCGTAACCGAACAATAATGATGCAGCAACACGCTTGGTCAACTTGTAAAAATTTAGAGCCTTCTGCTGTTTGCCCATAAAACAAATTTTGGAGTGTTATACAGTACAATTTCAAAACAATGTCATCGTAAAGAAACAACTATAGTATTGAAAACAAACAACTTGAAACAAAATCGGTGTACGGATTTAAATAAATATTTAAAATAGATTTTAATGGTCAACTTGTTGTCAAATTTTACGACCAATTTTTGCATACATTTGTGAGGGACGATGTGTAATAGACATGCAAAACAAACATTAGCGGTTAGCTGTATAATATCTTTGAATATCATTTTAGACTGATTCATTCATATGCTTGGTCATCTTGTAATCATTTAGAATTCAACAGTTTTTAATAATAGGGTCCGTATCTCTACACTTCTAGACGTAGTATCAAATTATAGTTGCCATAGCCCCGGTTTCATACACACTCGCTTAAGTAAATTTCAAAGGAAACTGTTTTCCCAATTTTTCTTATTGTAAACACTCCTATGCAATACTGTAGTCCCCTGGTATAAAATTGACAGATCAGTTAGACACTCTGAAAAGATCGATTACGCCCTTTTATATAATAAGGCCATAGGCATAATGTGTGTGAAGTACTGACTTTGTTAATATCGAATGGGTGAAATTGCGCACAAACTTCAAACTCTTGGCCTAACATACAATGCCAGAGGAAAGAATATCACGTTTTAGTCACCAAAAAGGATTTTCCACGGACGCACATTTATCTATATAAAAACAAGATTAATATTGTAGAAATTGTATTTCTAAATATTCATATATAATTCATATTTCATTTAGTAGACAATAAATATTCAGTAAGATACTAAAAACGATTATTAATTCTGAAATGTGCATCAAATCTCAGCTATGATTAATCAGTATGTATTAGGTTAAAGTCTTAAAACAATAATTTCGAATTAGGCCTAGTAAACAAATAATTGTAATTAAAGTTTAGGTTCCCATGATGTCAGATGACGTATTCAATATGATGCTATATTTTGGAATCTGACTTAATTTAACGATGGCCCTGTCAGTTGTAGTAATGACAATACTTGTGATTTTTTAGCCATGTAGTAAAAATAGTACAAGATGAGAGTCAAGAAGAAGTTCAGCTTCTACTTTATTTTGTAACAGGCAACTCTGTTTTTTTATATAGGCCTACAGGAAGATTCATTATTTTAAGTTAATACAAGACAAAACTTCTTAAACGTTTTATATATTATAATAATAAGTACATAATTCTTTGTAAATTACTTTGTAGGCCTATAAATAGCTTGTTTTGTTTGTGCGATGTGGTTTTTTTTTTGTCTTTCCGTGTGATTAAAACATGCCAATTATCAGAAAATATTTTCCAATTTTATTATATTACCACCTTTTATTACATAGATCTTTTTCAAAACATAACTGCTTCAGTTTGCTGGTCAGGTTGCGGCTAGGGGGCCGCCAAGGACCACACCTGTCTCTTATACACATCTAGATGTGTATAAGAGACAGGAATAAAGTAATGATTATAATTGATTATGACTGTTTTAACTGTCTGTACGTTGGTAACCACTGTGTTAGGCGCAATTGTTATCCCAGGTTGTTGAGGCTGATACTGTATACCGTAGTATTGCGGGGGTAGGCTTGTTGTCTGATGTTGGGTGGCCATCCTTTTAACTAATAAACAATGAATAACATGATACATGTACTATCTAACATTCAATAATAATAATAGAAATATAATAATAATAACAGCAACAACAAAAACAAAAACCATAATAATAATAATAGCAATAATAATAATAATAATAATTACTATTATTATTATTATTAATATAAATATAATAATAATGATAATAATAATAATAATAATAATAATAATAATAATAATTATTATTATTATTATTATTATTATTATCCTTCTTATTATTATTATTATTATGGTAATAATACTCATCATCGAACTCCTCTTCTGGTTTGTTCATATGCTCTGTGGGTACATTATTATTGGAGAAGCTGAGCTAATAATAATAATAATAATAATAATTATTATTATTATTATTATTATTATTATTATTATTATTATTATTATTATTGTTATTATTATTATTATTATTATATATTAAATGATAATAATCACAACAAACCTTTAAATGATGAACTGTTAAAGCTCATCTGCACCCTGCCTTCTGCATCTTGTTTCAACCTCGACTCATCATCGAACTCCTCTTCTGGTTTGTTCATGCTCTGTGGGTACATTATTATTGGAGAAGCTGAGCTAAATACGCATATTGAGCAGACGAGAAAGCCTAGCCACCACGCCCCTACCCACCGTTCATCGTCAGGCGACACTTGGACGTCGTCCATGTCTACACGTCCAACATCTACGTAGATCTTTAAGAAAAGACTACCAAAAACATAGCCCAGTGCTGGACCGGCTGCTCCCATGCAGTACAGGACACCTGTAAAATAATATTATATAATAATAATATTATATTATATTCGAAACTTTCGGTGGACTACTTTCTTTAACGTTAATGGATAACGCCATTGTGTTTGAGAAACCGTATTTCCAAGAATTTACATTCTTAACGTAACATAGAAAAAGTTTTATAAAGTTTCCAAAATGGTTGAAATTACCGAGATGAATGTTGGGTAATAAGGATCATGTTAACGTCCAAAAGTCCCTATATATAATTACTCAAGAATAGGGTTCATAGAAACAGACCATTGCATAACCAGGAACTTAAGCATAAGCCTAAACAAAATAGATTTCTAGACTTAGTAAAAGCCTTGAATCAAGTAAGTATTTTATCACACCAATTATATTTAGGCCTATTAGGCCTATCACTACATTCTCAGTCTTTCCATAAAAGTACTAATCGATTTCCTTTGAATTTCCAAAAGTAGGAATTCCACCAATTAGGAAAAAAAGGTTGCACTCTATATATTGATGTATAGGCCTATTATTATATCATAGGCCTATTATTATATTATATTGTATATAGGATACATCGTAAGAGAATTACTATAACACTTGCAATAACAGTGAGACTTAAAATCACTGGCTGTGACGCTTTTCAATTATTGCTTCTATAGCTTATTGCCTACAACAACCATGTATAGCCAATAGAGATTAATTCCATATTTCCCCATCAATCAAAACATGATAATGATAACAGCAACTAGCATTATGTCACCTCCTCAGCATGCATGCCTTATCCCTAATTAAGAGGCGTGTGGTGTGGGGGTGGGGAAGGTAAAATTGTATCTGAATCTGATTACATTCCTACTGGATTTTCTATTGTATTTCATGCTGTAAGTAAATACTTTTTATGAGGCCAATTTATATTCAATACAAAAGATAGTATCATTAATATTGTTATCATTATCGTTATTGTTACTGTAATACTGTACTGTATTTGTCAATCAGTGTCAGTCGGTATTGGAAGGGCTGATGGGGGAGCAAAGGTGCTATTGTTATTGTTGTTGATGTTGTTGCCGTTGGAGAAGGTGGCTCCGGATACTCCATGAACAATTCTTACGCCTTGGTCTAATTTTTACTAATTACAACCGTAGGCCTACTCCATTGTTAAATTGTGTTTGTTTTTCAATATTTTATGATCAATAAAATAATTATTTTAAAAATTATGATATGGCTGTGATAGACTGATCGGTGTTATAGGATGATGATAGGTACATAAAATAAAAAAGAAAATAAACAGACAAATCAAACTCACTGATAAATATGGATCCTTCACTCCGTCTGGCGAAATCATCAATATATATGGTTCCTAATGTTAATACACTTGTGGACCCTACACCAATTAGAAACTCGGCTAAAATAAAGACTGCAACAGTGCCCTGGTGCTGTATTTCTTTGTCCTCGCATGTTATATTATTATCAGAAGAAATGCATATATCAACGTTTTGCATTTCTTTATCAATTATGTACGGCGGCACATAGATTGGTCCCAGAAAATGCGGAATTGTGTATACTGCAGCGCCTAGGGCCATTATATAAGAGCTGAAAGTTATCCATTTCGGCTTGTTGGCGGTCGGCCTGCCTCCAATGTAGCTCGTGAATATAACGGCCGACAAGCAACCGATATCGTAAACGCTGATGATAAAGCCGATGAGGTAAGTCGGCAAGTCATAACGTTTCTGAATAGTAGTGACGACACTACCTATGTAACCGACGGCTAAAGTACCTTGGAAAACGGAGAGAATAGCAAGGAAGAGTACAAACTTGCGAATTGTTGCGAAACATTGCATAAAACTTGGACGACAAGAGCCACATCCGCAGCGCCCTTGATGCATTCTATTCACATCAAACTCATTGTCATTGTATTCCATCGATACAGGCCTACTATCGATATTGCCTTTTTCCGGTCGAGTTATTATTTCATTGTTGTTTGAGTTATTCCACTCTATTGACCCGTTTGCCAAGTGACTTTCCTCTTCCATTACTAATAGTCAATATTATTTTAAACACCGCAGAATAAACTAACAATAGACCTGTCTTGTTATATTCTAATATTTTACTGCAATCATAAATTTTCCGTGCTAAAATATCAAGTGTAGCGGGCGAGTGATGAGAACGAAGTCCAAACCGAGAGCAAACAAAGACAATAAAAATAAATTATTTACCAAAGGGATATCGGTATCTACTGATTATCTTTGACAATTAGTACTAAAAATACAAACACTAAAGAAATTATTTATGTGAACTTGACACAAACATATTGGGCAACGTTATCTCGCGTGCGCAAATAATCAAATAGACCTATTACTAAAAATGTCCACACGTATGTTCAAAGATTGTGTAATTATATATGCCGGTCAGGGTAAGGGTCTTAACTCATATGAACATTGTATTGATCTGCAGGAATTAATAAAAAGAAAGGCCCATGTGACCTTTACCTCCCCTGGCATTGCATTGCACTTATATTAAAAGTAGCAATTAAAATATTACATTTTATTTAATAATAATAATTATATTATATAATAATACATTTTATTTGCTTATGTTTATTAATTAGCTCAATACAGATTGTAATAGAGCTATGTTTTTGTTTGTTGTTGTTGTTGTTTTTTTTTTATTATTATTAAGAAGTAATTACATTCTAAAAGGTCTTTCTATAAGTCATGGTTAATTATTACAATTATTATAATTAAGTTCACTTTGGTTGGCCCTGGTCTCCCCATTTTAGATTGTGTTTTCTCGTTGTTTATTGGACAAATAAATAATGGTAACACAAACGAAGATAAACTGTCAGTAGTGACACCATTTTGCGGACTTGGAGTCCAAATAAGCGGTGTATGTATGTCTAATGGAGCACAGATCTGGTCATCTATAAACCTAAACAAAATAGCTTGTGATGTATTTTATCAGTAAACAGTATTTTGTGAATTAATCATCACGGACTCAAGGAAGAACATTTTTTTATTTCTCTCTTATTGAAACCTTACGCACGTTGGAATTAAGTTTTATCTGTCAATAGATAAACAGATTAATCTACTTACTGTACATACAAAAGAGACAAATAAAACTGATCTTCAGCATGTTACGTTATCAAAAGTACCGGGTCACTTAATCATTAACTTCGGACTTTGTACTCCATGACGTATCACACCTTCAGTAACCTGTCCGGCTCTTTATGAATTATTATTATTATTATTATTATTAAAGTGACATTCTCACTAGCTGATGACATAATCAGTCACGCACTCGTAATGTTCTAAGTGTCAGTACGAGGTTATATCACAGCCAATCATCGACGAAGAGGAAGGGTAAATTATGATATAGTGCCAAGCCACTAAACGGCCATGGTTAATGATTAACATAACACCGATACCGTTAATGTTGACCACACAGTACTAGTATTGTAACAACTCATTCAATTATTAACCGAAAGTACAAAATAAATTATAACACAGTACATGTTATTGTGGAATTAACAAATGATATATTAACAGACAGGTAAGAATTGTTTAATATTTCTAAATATTTTGTAGTCAATATTATTGCAACAAATGTGCTTCAATAGTCTAAGCCAATAGGCCCTAGGCCTACATTAATTTTGTCTAACTAGGCCTAATAAATAATTGTAAGCCTTTAACATTTTGTTAGCCTACTAGTATTGTTATTAGGCTTAACTCTGATAGTTAGAAATGTTGTTCGGGTAAGAATGAACTTGGTCTTGAATGGTTCGGGAATGTAAGGAGGAAGTAAATTATATGCCTGTTGAAGAAATTATTAAGGATATTGTGAAATTATATATCCAGTAGGAATAGTTCTACCAGTGTTTATCCTCAAACTTGGACAATACAAGATTTTTTGGCCAAAAAGCGTCGCTATCCTGTAACATCATGTAAAAAATAACAGATTAACGGAATATCGCTTAAAACCAATATAATATTATTATTACTATTATAATCATTATCATTATTATTATTATTATTATTATTATTATTATTATTATTAGTATTATTATTATTACTAATTCTATTATTAATATTATTATTATTACTATTATTATTATTATTATTATTATTATTATTATTATTATTTTGTTGTTGTTGTTTCTGTTTGTGTTGTTGCTGTTATTATTGTTATATTTCTATTATTGAATGTTAGAAAGTACATGTATCATGTTATTCATTGTTTATTAGTTAAAAGGATGGCCACCCGAACTCAGACAACAAGCCTACCCCCGCAATACTACAGAAACCAGTATCAGCCTCAGCAACAACCTGGGATAATAATTGCGCCTAACACAGCCGTTACCAACGTACAGACAGTTAATACAGCCAGCCGAAGAGTTATTGTAGACAATAAATCTCTACGAACAAACAGTTTATTTCGGGTAAGAACAAAAAATTAGTTACATTACTCGGCCATTATCTGTTTGAGGTTAAATGGACCTGTCTGGAACTATTGGCAAGGATATCCCTCCTGTCGTGGCCCCGCCTTAAAAGTTTGACGAGAAAACTGTACACAAATTGTTTGCTATCCAGGACAAATAATAATAATAATAATAATAATAATAATAATAATAATAATAATAATAATAATAATAATAATAATAATAATAATAATAATATTATTATTATTATTTAATAAAGCGCAAAACAATATCCATTAAAAATGTTCACCGGCGCTGTACAGAAATTTAAAATATACATAGGCCTACATACACTTTAAACATATACATACATAACAAATATACATTAAAAGCAAATAGAAACGATTGAAACCAATAATCATCACAAAATCCCAATACCATTTAATACATCAAAAATCTACATTGAAAAAAAAAAAAGAAAACGCGACATGAAAGAGAACGATAAAACACAAATAATTCATCATTCATTCAGTCTTCTTCGACGGAGTCTTTTTCTGCGCAATTATGTATCCCCTAGTTTTATATAAAGTTCGAGGCCACCTAATTTTTCAAGAGCACTTTCAAAGTAGCAAAACTAACACTCTCTAAACTTTAGCACAAAGCTAACCCTCTAATTAAAGAGGGTTAAAATAAACTACCCCACATTTTTATGTTCCCATACATATATAGGTGGTCTCGAATTGGGGCAGGAGTGAACTCTGTATTTTCAAGCAGAAGAAAGTTGTTACATCGATTATTAAAAACAAACAAACAAACAACAACGCGCAAAATAAAAAAGAAATAATCTGCACAAAAATTGAATAGGAAAATTCGGATGTAGGATACAGAGTGCTGTATAACATCGAAAGGCACAGTCACACCTATTATAAGCTTCTTAAAATTCTGGTCGGAACTTCTGGTCTTCGTCCCTAGTTCCCACCAGAGGGCCTGGGCTGTTATTTGGCCTCAGCCGAATAAGTTCTCGTTTCCCCTTTCACGCAATCGGTGCTCCCCCAGCCCGTCGGCAATCTGGTGCTACCATTCTGCTACGAATGTAGGAAGAAAGCCACCCCTGTCGAAAGTCACACCTGTCAAAAGCCACCCAACAATGGATTATACCATTGTAAGGTGGGGTGCACAATGGGGTGTTTGTTTTGATGTTGGTCTACAATAGGTTTTGGCTGTAGTGCTAGGAGTTTTTTTGTGTCAGACCTCTTTTATTCTTTTGTGTATTATGAATTACAAACTGGTCATTTTGCCTCTATGACCAACAAAAATGTCTTCACTTTTATAGGAAAGCAATGTTTTCACAAGACATACAAGCTGGCAGTGGGTTGAACCAAAGACTTAACTGAAAGTCTTTGTTTGAACAGGGAAATAATTTAATAGAATATTATAGGGCCTAGTCATCTCTTTATTTATTGAAGTTTACTATCTGACTTAATTTGTTACGCACTCGTAATTCTAAGTATAATTTTTTAATTTTTTTTTTTTACTCTATAGCTGATACTTGGAATATTAATTGGAATATTTGGCATTGTTGCAACTTGCATTCACTGTAATATATATAGTGGAGCAGGCATCTGGCTTGGTGTTGTGGTAAGTTTAACCATGGTTTAATGTACTGTAACAATGATACCGTAAAAATCAAAACCCTACAAATAGTTGATGATTTAAGTGCATCGTATTTTCTTTATTTCAGATCGGGTGCTTTGCTATTGTCGGCATAGGTGCCAGTAGCACTACAGGAAGTTTTTCTCAGAAGAATTGTCTTGTAAGTAAATATTAAATATAATTCTCAAATGATCTTAACATAGTGTTCACAAACCTACGTAGGCTTTCTGAACAGTTGCTGAGATTATGTCCTATTAGTAATAGGCCTATCCATGGCTGGAAACACTTTATATTTTATATGACAATGTTTTATCTAGCAAGTATATATGGGTACCATATACGGTCATACATATGGGTTTAATTATGCACAAAATCATGTAACAATACAAACAGGGTGCAAGGGTTGCGCCATTGCAGGCAATTTCTACTCTTCCAGGTATACATGCAGGAGCGAACTGGGAATCATAATACTGTATATACATTGAGTCCAAACTAAAACGAATTGTGCTATGGTTAGGGGAGCTCTCACGTTCTTCGACATTAACTGTATTGGTATTAGAGACTCGTTCAATACGGTACCATTTCTAAGCACTTTAGACGCAAGCTTACTTGTTGCAGTTAAATATTATTTTAGTTCAGTGATAATTACACTTTTTTTTCTTCTAAAAACGACCACACGCAGATGCGCATCGGTCCATGACCAATTGAAAAATAGGTCAATCCGCCCGCTAAAAATATCGTTAATATTATTATTTATGAGCTTGGGTCAATTGCGGGTAGGCCTAAATGTCTGACAAAGTCAATGTGCACCTTGAATGGCTTATTCTCTTCAAAGACATTAGCTAGGTTAAACTGAACCAGGTAGACGAATACCTTTATGGTTAACCAAATGTTCACTCTTTAAAATCTATTAATCTTTTGTCAAACCTTTTCAGGTTGTGACATACCACTTGTCGTCAATCATCGTTGGTTTGAATGCATTAAGCTTGGGTATCATTGCCAGCATAGCTGCTTCTGACGAGCCATATTATAATTATTACTATGTAAGTTATTGCACAAACTGGTTATCTGACTTCTAAACTTACGATATTATAGTTGACAGGTCGTCAACATAAATGTTAACAAAAATAATGATAATTGTAGCCTAATAATGATAGGCCTATTGATGACAATGATAATGGCGATGATGATAAGTATAAGAATAATGATAATAGTTATAATTATAGCATATCAATATCAGTATCAATGGCGGCGCCAGCGGAATTCCAAGGGGCACAGGGCCCCGCCGGGGAAGAAGGCAATTATTTCGTAGGTGAAACACTTCCTTAAAATACGTTTTCCAATTTGGGCATTCCGAACATCTAGAGCGATTGAGGTATATTTGGACCCCCGTCGGGATCCTTGGTCCCGTTGTATGGAATTTTGGATCCCTCGTCATGGAAATTATAGCACCGCCTCTGAATATAAAAAAAAAACAAATAGCCTAACAGTGCCATTAACAATAACGATAATAATAATATATGACTTATTCAAACTCAGAGTCTCAGGTCTGCTCGTGTTGGGATTGATATAACGCTTGCTATACTGTCGTTTGCCGAGGTTATTGCTGCGATATGGGCTGTTGTACTGACAGCAAGTGCAACGTACTGTTCACGCAGAGAAACTGTGGTAAGAAATCGTACAAAAATTATTTTTAAAATACACTGCCGTTCTGTATCTATATTTGACCTCAAAATTGAGCAAATCGTGCAGGCACTTATAACTGCGAAGGTGGATTGTGCGAATCCAAGACCTCACACACATATTGTAGTTATTGCTACACATTCCGTAGGCCTACTACCATGATATTTAATTTAATTCTTCTATTAGTGCATTGATGTTACATAAAATAAATAACATAAAACATAGATAACATATAACATCTATCTATCTTAAAAATCAGTAATCATGCAATGTTTAATGATTTTGAGCTTCTACCACATGGGCGTCGATTCCGGTGTCCGGTGAGTAAAACAAATGGATGTAGAAATTCGTTCCTACATGTTGCCGTTCGACTTCTTAATAATGAGTAGGGCTACTACTTATACTTTTTTTAATCAACGATTCTTTTTTTTTCATTGTATATTTTTCTGTGTTTTATATTTTTAATGTCATGTTTTTATGATGCTTGTAATGTCGACCTGATTTGAATTGCCGCATGTGGGATTATTAAAGATTTATTGAATTGAATTGAATTGAATAAACGTAAACATAAATTTCGGTGTGAATCACACCAAGGATAACCTGGGATGTCTGAAGACCTGTTTCGGGATCCTTCTGGTGGTGAATTGGGCAGCACACCGGGAGACAATCCCCTACCCTTTTCCGAAGAGTTTACTGCGTTCTTTAACATGCACATGGGCCATATTGCATATTGCACACGGGACCAACGGCTTAAACATCGCATCCAAAAACGGTGCTCTATCGTAACTTGTAAGTTGTATTTCCGCCCTCCAGCTGAAACACAAGGAGAGCGGCGATGGGAATTGAACTGGGGACCTAGAGATCTCTACGGTTCAGCGCACACACAATGGCTACCACCAGATTAGCTGACTGAGCTAAGCTGTCCGATTTAGTGTATACCATGTCTCTAAACTCCGAAAAGAAGACAGATAATAATTGTATCATCAAGGGATAATTAGGATCCATGAGGTCATGAGGTTAAAAAATTAAAAATAAAATTATTTTCCTATTTGAAATAAACTAGACTAGACTAGAAATTGACTAGATAAATATTATGGATTTTTAAATCGGTGAAAACATTATTTTTGATATGGTTGGAAGTTAATAACTTATTGATACTTATAATAAGTCTCTCAATATTCAAATTGGTTTTTGAGTTTTATTTTTGAGATCTACTTCTACAGTGGTTTTACAAAATGTTGTATATATTCCATAGGTTACTACCCAGCCTGTCGTACAGTATAATAGTGGTGCCACCAGTCACAATACACAGTATGGTGAGTAAAAGAGAAATATAATATTGTCTTAATGTTTAAACTGAAAGGAATTCTATTTATTAAGTTTAGATTAAACAAAAGGGAATTGAAATGATAAAAGTGTTGTTAGAGAAGACTAATTGAAATGTTTACTGATTGCGGAAAGAGAAGGTGAGAGAGAGGCGGGTGGGGGAGAGAGAGAGAGAGATTGAGTTGAGGGGGGCGGAGAGAGGAGATAATGAAAAAACGGCATGTTTAAAATTGAATATAACATATCTTTATATTTGGTTTATTTTTTAAAGATTTTGAATAAGTTTTAAAGTTATATTTTGTAATATTCAATCATATGGTTTTTATTTGTTTTAAATGTTTTTAGATTAAAAAGAGAGGGGAGAGAAGGGTGGAGAGAAGAAATGAATTTGAGTTCTTCTGCAATAGATCTTTATTTATTTTTCATTTTTCAGCATTCGTGAATACCACGGGACCATATCCCAATCAGCCGTACGTTCATCAACATACACATGCAACTACCATGCACGTTGTTGATAGCTACAATGCACCTAGTGCATATCCCCCACCATATACAACATGAAGTATATAATGTAATTAACAGGAACAATAATCTGCAATATAAAGTAATGATAGGGCTAATAAAAGTTATACTTCTTCTACTATACTAATACTGATGCTGCTGTCGCTACTACTACAATACTACTAATAATAATGTTGATAATAATAATATTAATAATGATAATGATAATGATAATGATGACGATGGCTACGACGACAATGACAATGGTCATACTCATAATAGTTATGATGATAATGATGAAAATGATGATGATGATAATGGTGGTGATGGTGATGATGATGATGATGATGATGATGATGATGATGATGATGATGATAGTAATTATGATGATGATGATGATGATGATGATAATGATGATGTTGATAATGATGATGATGATGATGATGATGATGATGATGATGATGATGATGATGATGATGATGATGATGATGATGATGGTAATGGTAATGATGACGATGATGACGTACAGTGGATGATGATGGTGTTGGTAATGATGATGGTGTTGGTAATGATGATGATAATGAAGATTTTTATGATGATGATGATGATGATTATAATGATACTGATATCTTATATTAACATAATGAGTTAAGATAAAACTTAGTAACTAATGTTAGTAATAAGTTAGTTACTAATGAAAATATTTAATTCGTCTTCATAAATTATTAGATTTTAAAGGCTACTTAAATGTGGTGACTTTATAGCAGGAATAAGAAATTGTTTATGTTTTCATAATAAAATTTTCTATATTAAAATTTCTAAATTTTTGAAGCAACGAAAATGTTTATGATCTATTATATGGGTCATATATTGCTTGGAATGTGCACTTAATTTTAATGGGACTTATTCTCGAGGATTATAAGAAGTGTAAATAAAGTGTAAATTATAACTGCTTTTTCGACTTTGAGCCATAACCAGAATTTCCTGTACTCTTTTCAATATTACTTTAATCTATCGATAAGTTAATCATTATATGAACCGCACCGGCCGCAACGGCTTTGGCCGGACCACCTTTTCTTATATTTGTTACATTAAAAAATATACAACTGTTACCTATATGATTCACCTTATAAAGCTAGAGAAAGCTTGTGTCGCAATAAATTTCGTTAGTCTAAAAAAGGTGCTACTGTACTTATTTAATATATTTATTAAATATTCACCATGTGCGTGTTTTGTAGTGCCTATCTACTTCAAGCCCGTGTTATAAATTAATTGAAAACTTTTTTTGACAATCTTAATTTTAGTAAGATTATTTTTGAAAATGTTAGCGGTATAACGACATAAACAACAGTATAAAGAGTTGGATTGAGTCTACCAAACTGACATCACCAGACAAATGCATACTGGTCAAGCCGGCTGGGATTTGCAATCAAAATTTTTCACCGCTGAAGTGAAGTAGGCCTACAATAAATTATTTTAAAAGTAAATATGTGCTATTTCCGGAGCTCGGGGCTCTAAAGGAGCATTTGTTTTCAAAATTTGCCCACCTCAGCCCCAACCATGCAGAGCAGAGAGTGTGAATAAATAGAGTAACTAACTATAACTTCATTTCACCATTTCAAAATTACAAAAACAACATAAAAATACAAAAATACAGAACGACTCAGCAGTAGACCTACTTGGTAGGATTGCTCAAAAGAGGGCAATGCCCATCTGTGGGAGGAACAAATGCAACAGAAATATGAAAATTATTATTTGCAAAGCACATCTGTATTTAAAATAGGCCTATTATTATTACAATTAAAATCATTAGGGAGGGTGGCTTTATAGGTTGCCAGATGCTATTTGTAGGCATCAAGGTTTTTTTTTTTTTTTTTTAATTGCTCTTTGATGGGTATGGATCGGAGGAGCGTCGGGGAGAAAAACACGATTCGTCGGCGTGAAGCAGAGTCTAAAATCGATCAAATAAGCCTATAAAACCACTAAATTGTCATACTTTCCCACCACGCGTCTTCCGCTCT